TGCTGCAGCATATGGGCGCCTAGCAAACCTCAGAACAGCATTCCGACATCTTAATAAGGAATCGTTCAGGACCCTGTACACCATGTACGTTAGGCCCATATTGGAGTATGCGGCACCAGTTTGGAACCCACACCTAGCCAAGCATGTAAAGAAACTAGAGAAAGTGCGAAGGTTTGCAACAAGACTGGTCCCAGAGCTAAGAGGCATGTCCTACGAGGAGAGGTTAAGGGAAATCAACCTGACGACACTGGAGGACAGGAGAGATAGGGGGGACATGATAACGACATACAAAATACTGAGAGGAATTGACAAGGTGGATAAAGACAGGATGTTCCAGAGATTGGACACAGTAACAAGGGGACACAGTTGGAAGTTGAAGACACAGATGAATCACAGGGATGTTAGGAAGTATTTCTTCAGCCACAGAGTAGTCAGTAAAGTAAGTGGAATAGTTTGGGAAGCGATGTAGTGGAGGCAGGATCCATACATAGCTTTAAGCAGAGGTATGATAAAGCTCACGGTTCAGGGAGTGACCTAGTAGCGACCAGTGAAGAGGCGGGGCCAGGAGCTCGGACTCGACCCCTGCAACCTCAACTAGGCGAGTACAACTAGGCGAGTACACACACACTTGCACTCCCGGAAACATAAGCTGTGTAGTTTACATCCACCAACACACACAATGGCATTCCCGGAAATCCAGGAAACCGTTCGTTTGACAAGTAACTCCCCACAAATAACCCAAGTCGGGCTGAACCGTCATAAGCTTCTTTTGCCTAAGTGCGGGTTATCTGTGTATTGTTCCAGTCACGGTATTGTGCCTTTTTGTTCTTTATAAAGTAACTTCATTAAGCAAGAGCCAAAACAAAAGGGTAATTTCCATATGAACATTGTTATGCACCAGAAAACGAGAAAAAGGACAATTCAGCTACGCATGAGCACATAGCGAATGGAAGTCAACCGTTAAACAAGAATTCTTATGTTGCGTGCATCAGCGTAAGTTTCATTTCATTAATATTTTTGTTAATACAGATTAAATATGGAAATGCGAGGTGACAACATCCTTGTATTCTATCTTTGATGACATGTTATCACTGGGATGGTGGTGGGTATTTTATTCGTCAGGAAACATGACCAATGTCTCACACTGGCCTTAGTCAAATGACTTTTAATTAAGTATTAGCTGGTTTACCTCGGCTACATTTTGCAACATATTTATAAAAATGATTACTGCCTAGTAGTGTCCTATAATACACACAAGGATTGATAGTGTTTAGTTATGCTGTCAGGACAATATATTTGGGGCTCAACACTGATTCTTATGGAACTCCACTTGTTACTAGTCTCACGAAATCGTAATGACACGCTTGCAAACAAACCATACAACGGGTGGGGATAGAATCCGCGATCAGTCATAAAACTCCAGACCGACGCGCTAGCCACTGGGCCAGCGGGCTACAAGATTCGTCCAACTGATCTCGGGTTATATCCCGGCCCGTGGTATGGTTTGTTACTAGTTTACACTCGCTCATACCTCTGATGGGTTCTAAGAGTTTTTCTACTCCCGGAGCCAGGCCATGGGCCAGGCTCGTCTGGTGCTTTGCCTGGCACCTGGTGAAGATACTTGTCGTTTCCTCTTGAAGACTTCTACACTAGTCCCATCCTTATTATTCAAGCCTTGAAAAATAAACACAAATGCAGTATAATGAGAATCTTTACTACGTTTCGCCCACACACTGGACATTTATGAAGTCGCCAAACAGATGTTTGTGACTTGACAGTTCACTGTGCGGGCGAAACGTAGTCAGTAGAAGATCGCATATACTGCATTTGTTTATTTTTCCATCGTGTCGGTATTTTATACCTTTTATCTCCATTGCTCGTGCCTGTTACCATGTCATGTCTTCTATTTGCCCTCGTCCAATGCAACACTTTTTTTTCTGAATGTTGTAGTTTCTAGATGTTTATCGTGTGGTGTCCTCTTAAAATACTTAAATGCTTCCCAGCAGTCGGCAGACCTGTTTTTTTTTTTATCCATGTCAAAATAAATCCACATGGCATTGTTTTCTATCCCTAAATCAGTGCTAGTTCACTCCATTAAATTAATCTCTCTAGATATCCCAATAAACTTCCCTTTCCTCATAGTTCGTCAGTGTCCGTTATCACGGCATCCTTCCCCAGCTTTATACAGGAATCATTATCCTTCTTAAGTGACTGGAGTAACTTTTGGTTCTGTTTTGGCTTTTGACGTCATTCTCAGTGTCCTCTCAGCTGTTATTAGTCCCAGCCTTAGGTCGTTCTTCGAGTTGTGCATTTTTTCAAGGGCCTCTTGCGGCCTCTGGTGTGTTGGCAATTCTGGCTGAACCATGGCCTGTCAAGTGACCGTTGGACCTATATATTTTCCTCATGCTCGGTACGAATCGTTCTCCTCTCTGATACTTCGTACATTAAATCTTTTGTACTGTTTTATCTTCCATTAGCATAGATTATACAAAAAATTATGAGGAAACATAAAAGTTGTAGAAACAGTATTTTCCTAAGATAACCTAATAAAGTCAGTTAAACTTAATTCCACTAGAAGTTCCATTGTGGGCGTTATTATCTAATATCATTATAAGAAATAGCCTCAATACCGTTTAGTAACACCTACCACAACTATTATCACAACCACTACCATGAAAACCATTATCATCACTGCCACCACCATCACCAAATATAACTCGTGGAAACCTTACTTGATGCCTAGAAACCAGGTCAGGCGGCTTTGTTGCCCAGCTCTTGCTAAGCCTATCCCTACTTGGCTGTCCCGACTAAGTCAAGTCGGGTCAGGTCAGGAAGGTCAAGACACGGGAAGCTCTCGCCAGAGTAACCTAGAAATTTGACACGTGCAATACCTAGATATCTTTATTTAAAGGCGTTACACCAACCAGTAGGGTTTTATACCATTATTGTGAAGATACAAAGTAGACTATTGCGCCAGGAAAGTAAACCTTTACGTAATATGCTAGTAATTGATTCGTCTTGGTTAAAACCATATATGGTCTTTGTCAAAAGACCAATCGCTCTTAAAAAAAAAGGGTAAGTGGTTAGGCCACTTTTCTTGCCATTCCCTTAATATGTATCCACGATACTTTTCCCTGCTCTATCCTTCCCATCCCTATCCTTGCTAGCCCTCGGAGAAGCTAAGTGGCGCCGGCACTAATCTATTTCCCTTTTAAGAATTGAACTTTATTACACACCATTCCCCAGTTTCAGGATGTCCCCACAAATACTATTACTGATAATAATAATAATAAAAATAACAATAAGGTACGTGGTTCGTTTTGTACACATTTCACGCGTTTCAATCCCATAATCTCAATGTAGAGTACCAACAAGTTGATTAACAGGTCAACACATGCAACACCAGGGTATCTTGAGAGAGACCCAGGTGTTACCCATGTATGTTATTCATAAATCTGTTGGTACTGTAAACCTTTGATCTAATGAAACCTAGTGTTTCACTCGTGAGTTTAACTGATCTTCATTTATGTAGTCAAACCACAAGTCGGAAAAATTACTGAACACTTATGAAGTTTAGAAAGCCTGTTTCTGATTGTACCCAGTCATTATTACTTGTGTAGTTATTCCAGCTATGTACTTAAACTTTCCCAGTATGTTAGTAACGACTTATTGCATATGTCTGTAGCACTTTTTTCCCAACCTGTGTGCGATTAGGCGTTTTTTAATTTAAATTTTAATAATGTGAATCCCTTCTAATTTTATCATGAACTGACATTTTAGGGATGCTACTAGGTGCATGCACAGCAACACCCCCGAGGATGCTACTAGGTGCATACACAGCAACACCCCCAGGATGCTACTAGGTGCATGCACAGCAACACCCCCGAGGATGCTACTAGGTGCATGCACAGCAACACCCCCGAGGATGCTACTAGGTGCATGCACAGCAACACCCCCGAGGATGCTACTAGGTGCATACACAGCAACACCCCCCAGGATGCTACTAGGTGCATGCACAGCAACACCCCCGAGGATGCTACTAGGTGCATGCACAGCAACACACCCGAGGATGCTACTAGGTGCATGCACAGCAACACCCCCGAGGATGCTACTAGGTGCATGCACAGCAACACCCCCGAGGATGCTACTAGGTGCATACACAGCAACACCCCCCCCCATGATGCTATTAGGTGCATACACAGCAGGCTACAATCATAAGACTAGAATCACCAGACCTTAACCACAGCAGCCACTGAAATGATCATCTTATTAATAAGACAAGTTGACATTAGGAGACTGCTTCCTGAGCAAAAAAATAAAAAGAACCAGTCAACCTTGTTTACACACTCTTCATGTCAGGTAAAAAGACGTGCAACTAATTCGACATTTTATTGGGGAAACTTTTCGCTCTCCAGGAGCTTTGTCAAGCCGTTACGAACACTACAGGGACACAGAGGGGATATATAGGTCTAGAGTGCATTAGTTGAACGTGCGTCTTTTATCTAACATATTGTCAATAATTCTATCATACGTTTGAACGAGAGTAATATTAACATGTTAGCCTTGTGTAAAGTCATTTAGTTAATGCCTATGCAAAACCCTTCGTAAAATCTCTCTCTAAGCCATTAAGTCAATCAATCAATATCTATCTATATATATATATATATATATATATATATATATATATATATATATATATATATATATATATATATATATATATATATATATATATCTCCTGAGAAGAGCTGAGAAGAGCACAAATTACATTTGCAATTATTGCTTCAAGTAATTTCTTCACAGTGCATGTCAGGCTTTATCGAGTCTGAGCTGACTTGATAAAACCTACTGAGCTGGAGAAACGTATTTAAAAGGGTTCTAATTGCTTCTTGCTCTCTTTATGAACTACAAATTGTTGGAATTGGCACATCTACTTTTAAAAGTTATGGAGTTCAGAATGCGGTAGGGTAAACGAGGTAAACAAAGTGGAATTGACTCACTTGATCGGAGAGCTCGTCTCTGGAGATGGCATACACCAGGATGGGCAGCACCTCCGGCAGGAGGGTCTTGAGAAAGTCTATGGTGGAGACCTGAGTGCCCGTCGGTGTAATCACCACCTGCACCCCTTCCTTCAGCAGAGGGTGGTTCAGCCCCACCTCCAACATACTGCTACCCATCACGGGGTCCTCACCATGAGAAAAAACATAGCGCTTAAATCGTGTATTATAATTATTTTGAAATTCAGGAAAGTGCTGTAACCAAAGTGTCACATGGGTTCGAACTGAAGCTAGCCATGGTGACATTTCAACACTTTGGGGGTTGACATAAAAACCTGACTCTTGAAACATATGTCAGTCTGCTAGGTAAAATTACTTGAAGTCACTACGGAGTGTGTGTGGGTGGGGGGGGGGAAGGGAATACATACATATGTGCGTACTCCAACACGCACTGTAGACATAATAAAATATAATTTAGAGGAAAGAAGCATGTATTAGGTTTAAGGCGCTTCAACTAGAACATTAATTAAACTGAATGTCACCTGTAAACCATTAAGTCACCTTCTAGAAAGAGTCTTTGACACCGGTGACCTTATGATCCAAAGAATTAGATCTAACCTTCCCCTTCCGCTAATCAAACCTGATTGCCTCCCATTCCCTCATGTGCTGCATGATCCCCTCCCTACAGATTTAGAGCTCCTTACCCTCTCCCCCTTCCAAAAATGTGATACCACCACCAGTCCAGGAAGGAAGCAGTGATATTTGACGAGCGCATTTATGTGGTGATCACTCAGCATTCCTGGCAGTAAGACAAACACACTCAAGAACAGCCATGGTAACATTAAACAATAGACAATTACTAGCTTGGGCAAGCACTAAATGTGGTATAAATTTTGGTAATAGACACTGACAAACTGGTTTAGAAAGACACGTGAGCAAACACTAGGGAATATTTATTAGAAAACTCTTCAGTCCTGGGACTTTGATCACTTCTAACATACAGAGGTGACTGACTGATTCATCAGGAACTGTGTCCTGACAGTTCCTGTCTCAGGACACAGGACACTGTCTGAGGATGTCGATCTAATTCAGCAGTTCTGTGGCCGCAGTCTTTCTGTAGTCCCTGTGAGTTCTATTGAAAAACATTTTATATGTTACAGTGGGCTGAGGCCATCACTGTCTCTGGGCCCTGTGTTGGGTGGTTGGGAATATTTGAAAATAAACGCATGGACTCTTTGTCCATCATGCATATGTTCACGAAGGTCTTGACCTCTGCTTTCTTCAGTCTATCAGGTCGCATATGATATAGGTGAAGCACATGATCGTCTACAATATAAGATGGCTCAGGGGTAATGTAGGATGTCCTGGTCTGCTTTCTTGGGCTACAATGCTCCTCACCGGTGACTGTTGTGGTGTTAGGGTTGACGCATTGGCTGTAGTGTGTTCCTGCAGCATGAGACCTGTTGGCCTCATGCCAAGCTCATGGGGAATTGAGCAGAATTATCAGAAGCTGGCTGAGCAAGAGCACAACTCCGTCCTTGGTGTTTCCTCGGCTTCCTTCATTGCTGTGGCTGGGGAAGTGACCCTGGATTCCATGTTACTGTAGCCTCCTCTGGACGAGGCTGCTGCTCAGTGGTGAGGGTTCTGTTTGATGCTTTAGGCTGGACAACCGGAATTTTCCATGCCGCCTTGACCCAGCGGAGCCTCTCCTGGCAGTACAGGTTCCAAGTATGATACTCTTGCCGCAGTTCGGACATCGAAGTTCCGTAGCTTCACCTCTCTTCAGTTTACTCAAGAAGTCCTTGGTTGGGCAAGACTCGCTACAGATGCCGCATATTTCCTTAAACTGACATAGGGAGCTGAGGTGGTTGCGCCTCTGTCACCTGGAGCACCTTAAAGATTCTGGATTGTACGTCCTAATCCGGTAATTTCCCCAACAGCCGAGATCCAGACGAGTTGAGAGGTCCTCGATGTTGGATCAAGACCTGCCTCGTAGGTACATTACCGTCTTTCTTGGCTCGGAGCTGTTCAACTTTCAGGATGTTTCTGTTACTATGGATTGTATCGAGAGGCATGTCTAGTTGATAGCGCATTAGTACGCTTTTTGTTACCAGCCCTATGGATTTTAGCTCTGCTAGAACAGGTGGTGATTCTGAAGTACCTCACAGGACTTTCAGTGATAATAAACTCCCTTTTCAGATTTGGGGACACCGATAACTTCAGGCTATATTTCTTCTCTAGGTGAATTATAGCAGAATGCGGAGTGTCTTGGTGTTCTTTGCTTATCAACCTGAATTTATTAAATGAAGATGGCTTGGCTTACCCGATCTGAGGCAAGGAAACAGTGTCTCCCCTCTGGGACTTCGGGGCTCCTGCTACCTGCCAACCTTCTCCATCCAGTATCTGGGGCTGGCATGAGCGTTTCTTCATCCATTCCTATCTCATTGGCCCAGCTGGTCTCGCTTGCTTCGCTGTCCCAAGAGTTCAGGGAGTGGTCTCCCAGCTTCATCGCCAAAACTGCGCCCCACATTTCCAAATCCGAGTCCACGGTCGAGTCCTTGGTACATCGTGACCTCTTCCTTTTGAAAAAAAAAAAAAGCCATGTGCTTCCATGTGTGTATCTCGTGACTGATCTACTCCCATACAGAAGTTAAAAAGACAGTACATGTATATAAAAGCAGAGAGTGAGGTGCGAATGACATGTGGTGACCATGCGTCACTTGTACCTCACTCTCCGCCTACATATACTGTCATTTTTAACCTCTGTGTTAGAAGTGATCAAGATCCCAGGATCAAGACGTTTTCTAATGTCTTAGTGTTTGCTCACGTGTGTCTAAACCAAATACTAAATGTGTAGGAATCACTCGGTGTCTATGGAAGGGAGGTTAAGCAGGTTTGATCCAAGAAAGTGAAAGGAAAAGGACACAAGTGCAACTAATGTGACATTTTATTGTGGCAACGTTTCGCTCTCCAGGAGCTTTATCAAGTCATTGATAAAGCTCCTGGAGAGCGAAACGTTGCCACAATAAAATGTCACATTAGTTGCACTTGTGTCCTTTTACTTTACATATTGTCGGTAATTCTACCAACTTTATTACAAAGTGAAAGGAAACATGTCTTGGATTAATAGACCATCACTGACATGTGGTGCTGCCTCACCTGTAAGGCTCGCTGGTCCAGTTCCACGTCTGCCCTGGGCACGGTGCCCCAAGGACGTGAGTGGGCATGGAGGGAGTGAACCAACTCGTACCCACCGGCCACAGAGGACTTGTGGTCGGGCAGGGCGAGGGAGACGGTGCGGGTTTGCGAGTACTTGAGTGTGATGGGTCTCCAGGGTTGGTGGTGTTGGTGATGGTGGTGTTGGTGTGTAGGAGGAACGATGGGTAGCACCTGCTCAGCTAGCAGGCGGGTCACCACCACCACCTTGCTGTAAGCGTCCTGCCCACCTACCACCACGCTCACAGGCACGTCCAGCACCTGACGCAGTTCACTCAATTCAACCTCGCTTAACCGTATCTCAGAAATTTGTTCTGAAACATCAACATTAATTAAAATCCTGGAATAACCACACACAAGTATTACTGTCATGGGGACGAGTCGAGTTCATGAAGTTGAAGAATTCAGACACTTGTGCAAGAGTTGGAAATCTTTATTGAGGAAACATTTCGCCAGCCAGTGGCTTCTTCAGTCCAATACCGAGGAGTAGAATGAGGTAGTCAGTCCCTCAATCTTGAGAAAATGTAATTTTCTCAAGATTGAGAGACTGAACACATTGTATCCAGCAGTAACAGCCTAGTTGATTAGGCCCTGGTCCATCGGGAGGCCTGGTCATGGACCGGGCCGCGGGGGCGTTGATCCCCGGAATAACCTCCAGGTAACCTCATTTCCTCAGCTTTAACCGTTCTCTCTGTATTGGACTGAAGAAGCCACTGGCTGCCAAGACGTTTCCTCAAAGATTTCCAAATGTTGCACAAGTCTCTCATTCTTCAACTTGTCGGTTTTCTAAACCATTACATCACATCAGTTCATAAAGTGCCTGGGGAACATGATCTATACAGGTTTGATTCAAGGATGGGGAGGATACCTTGCAGAGGTTTAACAAAGATAAAATTAATAATTATATTATTAAAGGTCTATAATGTACCTCTTCCCTGTGACAAATATTCTTACAGCTTAGTAGTAACAGTTCTTGTAACATTAGTACCAAAACCATCTTAGAAATACAGTTCTTGTAACACATCAGTACCTGAACCCTCTTAGAAATATACTACGTAGTGATCCTGTTCTTTTTAAATGAGGGGGGGGGGGTTAATGACCTAGTTGGGGAAGGCCGGCGGATTCTTAGATCACTAAATGGGTCATCATGTGACTAGGACCCGTCCCAGGAGAGAGTAATGATTTCTGAAGAACACAGCATCACCACGTCGGCTAGACTTCGCTTTGTGTGTAAGATAGCACACACTAAGATATGTCAAACCTCGAAAATACTAAAAATTTGTTTGACGGAGTAATGTTTTTAATGTACACCTTAACAGTGGTAACCGGAAGTGGTAAATGATACTTAGTTTATTTAGGCACAGGTACACATACAGTAGTGTGCAAATTGGGACAGGAGTAAATTTTGCTCTTAGTCTCTGGCTTAATGTAGTTTGGGTTCTCTTTTCAGAAGAGTTTGCTACCGATTTCTGGCAACCATCCAACTGTGGTGCTACCCTGTGACTCTCGTCAGTGCAACAACAGCTGTTGTTTTGTACGTCGACTATTCGTGCAAGCATGCTCTGAGTGATAATGTATTTTTTCCAAATTCTCCCCTTCAGTTCATGATTACTGCTGAAATTCATGATGGATGTTACACCTAGGAAGCATGCATGTATTGCAGCTCTTAGGAAACATGCTAATTTGAGTGTCAGATAGATTGCCGAAAATCTGAACTTAGCAAAGTCAACTGCTGATCGGATTCTGAAGAGAGCTGATGACACTGATGATTGTAGAGCGCTCTGTCGAGGAAGATGCGGAAGGAAATGCAAGACAACACTTCACAATGACAAGGTTATCGTAAGAAATAGTATGAAGGATATTAAGAAAACCAGCAAAGATCTACAGAGAAATTTGACTCTTTGAACTTGACAGAACTGCCAGAAAGCCGGTAAAGAAAATTCCTGGCTGCTGCTATGAAGAAAAAACGGCTGCGGTGGGTACTCTTGTCATAAGGGATGGACGATAGATAAATAGAGAAAAGTTATATTTTCAGAATTGGCGCATTCTGAACTACATGGGTACTCATCAGTGGTAGTGAGACGGAACAAAGGCAAACCTCTTCGGATTGGACACATTCAACAAGCGTCAAAACACCCACCTAAGATGTTTTGGGGTAGTTTTACTGCTAAAGGCCCTGGACTGCTCGTTACTGTTGAGAGAACGATGGGCACTGACAAATACAAGGCAATCCTGGCAACTCATTTCCTTCCCATTGTGGATATTATTATAATAAAAAAAGAAGCGATAAACCACAAGGGTTATACAGCTCCCATTGTGGATAGACTTTCTTCGAGAAAGAATTTTCCAGCAGGACCTGGCTCCATGACACTTTCAGAAAAATGTTGACATTCTTCGTAGTGTGTCCTAAGCGTTCTAAAATGGCCTGGAAACTCTCCTGACTTCAACCCAAATGAGAATTTATGGGCAATAACCAAAAGCAGGGTCGCAAAACAGGACTGTTCAGCTATGGAGAAGCTAACTGATACTCTTATTAGGACCTGGTACCACGATGAAGAACTTGCCAAAATGTGTTCAACATTGTTTGATTATATGCCAAAGCTACACGCTGTGGCATAGAATCGATCGCTAGTGCACTCATCTCACACACTGAGATCCGGGGTTCGAATCTCCTCCGGTACGACTGGAAAATATTAGGGACGTGTTTCCATAAGACACCTGCTGTCCCTGTCCCTGTTCACCCATCAGTAAAATGGGTACCTGGGTGTTAGTCGACTGGTGTGGGTCGCATCATGGGACAAAACTGACCTAATTTGCCCGAAATGCTCAGCATAACAAGCTGCTTTCCATATAGTAGCATGTCAGTGATGTCAGGTGGGCTTGTATATCATGTACAAGTACTTGTAGTAAATAAAGATATATAAAGCAAAGGGTAGTCACCTCTTGTAAATCAATTATGTCATATCTTTGCCGTGCATTTTTCAAGTAAACATTAATTTTCCAAATAAATGTCTTGTTTCATCAGTCCCAATTTAATATGCACACTATTGTAAGTACAAATATCATACATTATGTAAATTACCAAGGATAACCCCAGAAAGTCAAAGTGATTTATTTCCATTGGGATCCTTGATCGCTCGGATACGTTAAAATGGGCCAAGCTGAGGCGGTACCAGGAGTTAGGTCTCGACTCCAGCATCCATACATAGGCGAGTACACAGTGACAACCGATAGTGGCAAATGTCGGTTGGTAATCACGCAAGTGTTGGGAAAGGAACATAGGATGGCCCTAACAATGTTAGCTGCATTGACGGCTCAGTAACGTTGATTGGTGAGCGTGGCAGGGAAGATGCTTGATATAATAGGGAAAGGGGGCAGGGTGTTGATTTGATTGCGTGTGTGTGGTGTATTGATTGTGTGTGTGTGGTGTATTGTGTGCGTGCGCGCTCACCTATTCATGGTTGGAAGGGACGAGTCACAGCTCCTGGCCCCGCCTCCTCTCTCTCGTCCACTCTCACCCTGCTCCAAGAGCTGTATCGTACCTCTTCTTAAAGCTATATATGGATCCTGCCTTCACTACATCACTCCCCAGATTGTTCCACTTCCTGACAACTCTGACTAAAGAACTACTTTCTAACATTTCTGTGACTCATCTGAGTCTTCAACTTCCAGTTGTGACCCCTTGTTGCTGTGTCCCATCTCACAGTCCGTCCACCTTGCCAATTCCTCTCAGTATTTTATATATCGTTATCATGTTCCCCTTATCCCTCCTATCCTCCACTGCTCGTCAGGCTGGGTTACCTTAACCTCTCCTCGTAGAACATATCCCTTAGCTCCGAGACTAGTCTTGTTGCAACCCTTTGCACCTTCTCTAATTTCTTTACGTGCTTGACCAGGTGTGGTGGATTCCATACTAGTGCTGCTAGGGCTTGACGTGGGTGGTATATATATAGTGTCTTGAATGATTCCTTACTTAGGTGTCGAAACGCTATTCTTAGGTATGTCAGGCTCCCTTATGCCGCAGGAGTTATTTGGTTGTGGGCCTCAGATGTGCTTGCTATTATACTCACCCCAAGATCCTTTTCCTTGAGTGAGGCTTGCAGTCTTTGACCCCGTAACATGTACTCCGTCTGCGGCCTCTGACCTTCCCCAATCTTCATGACTTGGCACTGAGTGGTGCTAACCTCAAGGAGCTATTTGGAGCCATTTGTCGGACCAGGTTTGCAGCCTGTCCAGATCCCTTTGTAGTCCTACCTTTCCCCGCCCGCTTGAATTCTCTGCAGTAGCTTCACGTCGCCCGCAAACAGGGACACCAACAATGCAACGGGAGCGCGAGAAGAGCAATAATGACCCCCTCCCATCTTCTCTCAGAGCAAAAATTCAACAAATGGAGAAAAATCTTTCGTTACATTAACCAAATGAAGGAAGAGGGATGCTCGGTTCTTACTCAGGCTAAGGTGAGTAAGCCGTGGTAGTCCAGAATCAGAGAGGGAAGTGTGGTTGTGGCGGCAGCATTAAGGGGAGGTGGTGTGGCAGCAGAAGTATGGGGGGGGGTTGTGGAGGCAGCAGTAAGGGGGTGCTTGTGACGGCAGTAGTAAGGGGGGGGTTGTGACGGCAGTAATAAGTGGTGGTTGTGATGGTAGCAGTCAGAGGGGTGGTTGTGACGGCAGCAGTAAGGGGGGTGGTTGTGGAGGCAGCAGTAAGGGGGGTGGTTGTGGAGGCAGCAGTAAGGAGGGTGGTTGTGGAGGCAGCAGTAAGGGGGGGTGGTTGTGGAGGCAGCAGTAAGGGGGGGTTGCGGTGATGAGAGGGATGGTAGTTGTGACGGAAACAACTTCACACTCGTAACCCAGCAATCAATGTGTCACTTCCCTGGCTCTGCTATCTGCATCATTCCCACAATACACGTCCATCATCACTGTTCTCACTTACATCCATACCCTGAAGCTCAGGTTAGGTCTCTTACCTTGTTAAGGTCCCATTGTCATTCACTTCTATATCATCTAACCTTATTCATCTGCTTTCTGAGAACTTGTATGATGTTGCATATTCACGAGGAGGAACAAGTTATAGTTGGCAATACTGGAGCCATATTTTCCTGGAAAAGAGACGCCAGTGATCTAGCACAGCTACAAGATACAAGAACACCACCACCATGAATTAATATTTATCCAAGACAAATATGTTTTAATAACAGAGGCAACTGTGACTGTGTTAACTTATTTGTTTCAATGGCCTCATTTTCCATAAATCAGAGTGAAAATACAAAAACAAATAGGTCAGTGGTATCTATCATGAGGTTTTGCCACAGCCACTG